TTTGTACTGAGGAGATTGTTTTGTATTATTTTTTTTATAATTGTAGCCCCCCCCCCCCCCCCCACCCAACATGTTCCTTTTCTGCAGCTGACCAACGAGATCACGCCTGTGTTGTCGTATGCCTACATGTCAGTGCTGGTCCCGGTCTTCCTGCTGACGGACTATCTGCGCTATAAGCCAGTGCTGATCCTGCAGAGCCTCAGTCATGTGGCCATCTGGCTCTTGCTGCTCTTTGGCACCACCGTGCTGCAGATGCAGTTCATGGAGTTCTTCTACGGCATCACCATGGCCGCCCGGGTGGCCTACTCCTCGTACATCTTCACCCTGGTCAGCCCGCAGTCCTACCAGAAGGTGGCGAGCTACTCGCGTTCTTCCGTGCTCATGGGGGTCTTTGTCAGCTCGGTGCTAGGCCAGCTCTTCGTCACCCTGGGCGACGTGCCCTTCCTCACCTTGAACTACATCTCGCTCGGCTTTGTCACCTTCGCCTTCACCCTGACCCTCTTCCTCAAGAGGCCCAAGAGGACCATGTTCTTCAACAGGAGGCAGGCCGTGGCGGCCAATGGCGTGCTGCGTTCCGAGGCCGAGGCGGTCAACGCCACCTCCATCTCGCTGGTGGCCGAGAAGCAAAGTCCCCCCCGAGGCTGGCAGTGGCGGGATTTGGCGCTGATCAAGATGATCCTGGAACTGAAAGGTGAGCGGCCTGTGCTCGCTTCCGTCCTGTTTTTTGTTTTTTTTTTTTTTTTTTTGCAGCCTGCCGCGGGCTCAAAGTTTCCACTTGCCGCGGTTTGGGTTCGGGGTCGGGATCTGGCGTTCTCTCACCCCTCACTAACCAAAACCCTGTCCTCATCGCTCGGGCTCTCTCCCCTATCCCTCATGGATCCTAGAGGAAGAGGAAGAAGGAAGCTTACTAGTCAAAAGGAGGAAGGAAGCTTGCTTAAGGTTGAGGAAGCAAGGATCGGACAGGGCTCTAGAGGGTCTACAGTGTAGCCAGGAAGGAACTGAAGAATGGACTTAGAGCTAGAAGTGGGTATGAAAAAGCCTTGGTGGGTAGGATCAAGGAAAACCCCAAGGCGTTCTATGCTTATGTGAGGAACAAGAGGATGGCCAGAGTGAGGGTAGGGCCGATCAGGGATAGTGGAGGGAACTTCTGCGTGAAGTCAGAGGAGGTAGGGGAGGTCCTTAATGAATACTTTGCTTCAGTGTTCACCAGCGAGAGCGACCTTGATGTTTGTGAGGACAGTGTGAAACAGGCTGATTGCTCGAACAGGTTGGTGTTAGCAAGGAGGATGTGCCAGAAATTTTGGAAAAACACAAGGATAGATAAGTCCACTGGGCCAGACGGGACGTACCCAAGGTGTCTACGGGAAGTGAGGGAAGAGATTGCTGCCCCTTTGGCAATGATCTTTGCGTCCTCACTGTCTACTGGAGTAGTACCAGAAGATTGGAGGGTGGCAAATGTCATTCCCTTCTTCAAGAAAAGGAATAGGGATAATCCTGGGAATTAGACCGTTCAGTGTTACTTCTGTGGTGAACAAATTATTGGAGAGGATTCTGAGAGATAGTATTAATGATTATTTGGAAAAGCACAGTTTGATTAGAAATAGTCAGCATGGCTTTGTGAAGGGCAGGTCATGCCTCACAAGCCTTATTGAATTCTTTGAGGATGTGACAAAACACATCGATGAAGATAGAGCAGTGGATGCGGTGTATATGGATTTTAGTAAGGCATTTGATGAGATTCCCCATGGTAGGCTCATTCAGAAAGTAAGGAGGCATGGGATTCAGGGAAATTTGGCTGTCTGGATACAAAACTGGCTGTTCAATAGAAGACAGAGCTAGTAGTAGACGGAAAATATTCAGCCTGGAGCTCGGTGACCAGTGGTGTTCCGGAGGGATCTGTTCTGGGGCCTCTGCTCTTTGTGATCTTTATAAATGACTTGGATGAGGAAGTGGAAGGGTGGGTTAGTAAGTTTGCCAATGACACAAAGGTTGGTGGAGTTGTGGACAGCGTGGAGGGCTGTTGTAGGTTGCAACGGGACATTGACAGGATGCAGAGCTGGACAAAGAAGTGGCGGATGGAATTCAACCCAGAAAAGTGTGAAGTGATTCATTTTGGAAGGTCGAATTTGAATGCAGAATCCAGGGTTAATGGCAGGATTCTCAGCAGTGTGGAGGAACAGAGGGATCTTGGGGTCCATATCCATAGATCCCTTCAAGTTGATAGGGATGTAAAGAAGGCGTATGGTGTGTTGGCTTTCATTTGCAGGGGAATTGAGATTAAGAGCCGCGAGGTTATGCTGCAGCTCTATAAAACCCTGGTTAGACAACACTTGTAATATTGTGTTCAGCTCCGGTCACCTCATTATAGGAAGGATGTGGAAGCTTTAGAGAGGGTGCAGAGGAGATTTACCAGAATGCTGCCTGGACTGGAAGGCAGGTCTTGTGAGGAAGGGTTGAGGGAGCCAGGGCTTTTTTTTCTCATTGGAGTGAAGAAGGATGAGAGATGACTTGATAGAGGTGTACAAGATGATGAGAGGCATAGAGAGAGTGGATAGCCAGAGACTTTTTCCCAGGGCGGAAATTACTATTATGAGGGGACATAATTTTAAGGTGATTGGAGGAAGGTATAGGGGAGATGTCAGAGGTAGGTTCTTCACACAGAGAATGGTGGGTGTGTGGAATGCGCTGCTGGCAGTGGTAGTGGAGTCAGATATTTTAGAGACATTTAAGCGACTCTTGGATAGGCACATGGATGATAGTATAATGTAGGTATGCAGGATAGTTGATATTAGTAGGATAATAGGTCGGCACAACTTCGTGGGCCGAAGGGCCTGTATTGTGCTGTGCTGTTCTATGTTCTACGTTCTCCCCGGGCCTCACCCCTGCCCGATTTATTTGTCTCTGTCTGTCCTTCTGACGACACCCCTAGACATCAGCTTCTTTGCTTGTTGTCACACTGCTGTCCTGTGGGAGTTTGCCATGTACGGATACTAGCAGCGCGGTGGCTGAGTGGCGAGCACTGCTGCCTCATGGCGCCAGGGACCCGGGGTTCGATTTCTTCCCCCACCCCGACCGGGCGCCTGTCTGCCTGTGTGGAGTTTGCACATTGTCCCCGCATCTGCGCGGGTTTCCTGCGGGTGCTCCGGTTTCCTCCCGCAGCCCGAAGGTGTGCAGGTGAGAGTGAACTGGCCATGAGAAATGCAGGACTACGGGGATGGGGTGGGTGTATAAATGTGAACTGTTTGTTTTTTTTTATTGTATGGTGGTGATGTAGACAGCCGGTGTCAGGACACTGAGCGTCCCCGGGTTAATGATATCTTTAACGGTTGTTTGTCATGCGTTCAAAGTGCAGCGAGAGGAACAAGTTGCCTGTTGACCCGTGTCCCCATTTCACATCTGATTTTGAGTCTGAAATGAACTGGACCTGGGGTCCTTCAACTTCCTCGTGCCTGCTTCTGTATTTTCTTTCATTCTTTCGTGGGATATGGGTGTCAATGGCTAGGAAGGCGTTTGTTGCCCATTTGTAATGGTCCACGGTGCAGTTAAGAACCAACCACGTTGCCGTGGGCCTGGAGTCACGTGTAGGCCAGGCCGGCTATTGGTGTCCGATGTCCTTCCTTGAAGTGAATTAGTTTTCACGACGAGTGATGCCAGTTGAGCTGGTCACCATTACCCAGATCGCCACGGTGGGGTTTTTAACCCTGGTCCCTCGAGCATTAGCCTGGCCCCCCTCCTCGCTTACTGGGCCAATGCCTCTCCTCCATATCGTCATGACGGCACATCACGCTCTGATTTTTCTCCATAAAATATAGGAGCTGCTCTGGGCTATTCGGCCAGCCACGCCTGCTTCTTCGTACAGTCAGATCATAAGTGAGTTCCTCTATATATTCAACACTGCACTGGATCAGGAGTAAACCATCCAGCCCCTTCTAGAATTTGGTTAGGTCATCCACAGACCTGTATCCATCTCCATCTCCCTGTCACAATTCCCTTTCCTTTGATTAAGGTTAATTTAACAGAGTAAACTGTCTTAATTTTGATTTAACCTTCAGCTTCCAGGTCTCCATCGCCCTCTTGTATAAAGGCGTACTTCCTACATCACCACAGACCTGCCTGGCTCTAATTTTAAACATTCTGTCCCTTATGTTAGACCATAAGACGTAGGAGCAGAAATTAGGCCATTCGGCCCATCGAGCCATTCAATCATGGCTCATAAGTTTCTCAACCCCATTGTCCCACTTTCTCCCCGTAACCCTTGATCCCCTTGACAATCAAGAACCTATCTATCTCTGTCTTAAATGTACTCAATGACCCGGCCTCCACAGCCTTCTGTGGCAGTGAATTCCATAGATTCACCACTCTCTGGCTGAAGAAGTTTCTTCTTGTCTCCGTTCTAAAGGGTCTTCCCTTTACTCTAAGGCTATGCCCTCGGGTCCTAGTCTCTCCTACCAATGGAAACATCTTCCCAACCTCCACTCTGTCCAAGCCATTCAGTATTCTGAAAGTTTCAATTAGATCCCTTCCCATCCTTCTAAACTCCATCGCGTATAGACCCAGAGTCCTCAAACATTCCTCATATATTAAGCTTTTCCTTCCTGGGATCATTCTCGTGAACCTCCTCTGAACCCGCTCCAAGGCCAGTACATCCTCCTTGAGGTATAGGGCCCAAAGTTGCCAACAATACTCTAAATCTGGTCTGCCCAGAGCCATACAGAGCCTCAGATGTACATCGCTGCTTTTATGTTCTAGTCCTTGCAAAATAAATGCAAACATTATGTTTGCCTTCTTAACTAACCAGCTCAACCTACAAGTTTACCTTAAGAGAATCCTGGACTAGGACTCCCAAGTCCCTTTGCACTTCACAGTTCTGAATTTTCTCCCCATTTAGAAAATAGTCGATGCTTTTATTCTTCTTACCAAAGTGCATGACATCACACTTTCCCACATTGTACTCCATCTGCCACTTCTTTGGCCACTCTCCTAACCTCTCCAAATCCTTCTGCAGTCTCCCCAGCTCCTCAATACTACTTGTCCCTCTACCTATCTTTGTATTGTCTGCAAACTTAGCCAGAATGCCCATAGTTCCTTCATCTAGATCATTAATGTATAAAGTCCCAACACTGACCCTTGTGGAATACCATTTGTCATGGGCTGCCATCCTGAGAAAGACCCTTTTATTCTGACTCTCTGCTTTTGCCAGACAGCCAATCTTCTATCCGTGCTAGTACTGTGATCCTAGTACCATTGGCCCTTATCTTACTTAGCAGCCTCCTGTGCGGCACCTTGTCAAAGGCCTCTTGGAAGTTCAGGTAGATAACATCCTTGGTCTAACTTGCTCATTACCTCCTCAAAGAATTCTAACAGATTTGTCAGGCATGACCTCCCCTTGATGAAACCGTGCTGACTTTGCCCTATTTTACCATGCACATCCAAGTGTTCAGAAATCTCATCCTTCACCATCTACTCCCAAATCTTACCAATGGCTGAGGTTAGGCTAATCAGCCTGTAATTTCCTCTCTGTTGTCTTACTCCCTTCTTAAACAGGGGGTTGCATTTGCCAGTTTTCCAGTCCTTTGGGACCCTCCATGACTCGAGCGATTCCTGAAAGCTCACCACTAACGCCCTCACTATCTCTTCAGCTATCTCCTTTAGAACTCTGGGGTGTAGTCCATCTGGTCCTGGTGATTAATCCACCTTCAGATCTTTCCGTTTTTTTTCTAACACCTTGTCCTTGGTGATGGCCACCATACTCCCCTCTGCACCACCACCCCCATCTCCCCAAGCCCTTGAATTTTTGGGATGTTACTCGTGTCTTCCACCATGAAGACTGACAAAGTACTTGCTCAGTTCCTCGGCCACTTCCTCGTTTTCCCATTACTACTTCTCCAGCGTCATTTTCCAGTGGTACACTGTCTGTCTACTTTTGCCTCTCTCTTTTGCTCTTCATTTATCTAAAGAAACTCTTGCGGTCTTCTTTTTATATTACTGGCTATCTTACCCTCATGTTTAATCTTCTCCCTCCTTTTTTTCTTTTTTCATTGTCCTAGGTTGGCCTTTGTAGGCTTCCCAATCCTCTGGCTTCCCGCTGCCCTTTGCCATATTATATGCTTTCTCTTTTGCTGTTATGCTGTCCCTGACTTCCCTTTCTACCATGGTTACCTCATCCTCCCTTTGTATGTTTCTTTTTCCTAGGGATGAATTTTAACTGTGTCTCCCAAATTACTCCCAGAAACTCCTGCCATTGTTGTTCCACTGTCTTTCCTGCTCGGCTCCTTTTCCAGTCAATCCTGGTTGCCTCCTTGCTCATGCCTCTCTAGTTCCCTTTATTCAACTGTAAAACTGTTATATCTGATTCCACATTCTCTGTCTTAAATTGCAGCGTAAATTCTATCATATTATGGTCACTGCCTCCTAAGGGTTCCTTCACCTTAAGTTCCCTTTCTGCCTCATTGCACAACACTAAATCCAGAATTGCCCATTCCCTAGTGGGCTGCACCACAAGCTGCTCCAAAAAGCCATCCATAGACATTGCATAAATTCCTTTTCTTGCGATCCACTACCAACCTGATTTCCCTAGCCCACCTGCATACGGAAATCCTCCATGATCACTTTAACCTTGGTTTTCTTACACACCTTTTCTACCTCCTGGTGTATCTTGTGCCCCAAATCCTGACTATTGTTTGGAGGCCTGTACATTACTCCCATTATGGTTTTTTTTAACCTTTTTGCAGTTTCTCAACTCTACCCACAAAGATTCTACATCATCTGACCTTACTATGTTCCTTGCTATTGATTTAATTTCATTTCTTACTAATAAGGTAACCCCACCCCCTCTACCCACCTGCCTGTCTTTTTGATATGAACTCTTTCCCATCCCCACCCTAACTCAGTAGGAAAAGGGATGTCTTTCTCTCTCTCCTGCTCTCTCTTTCATGTCCTTCCTAAGGCTCCACTGGTTCCAACATGTGGCCCCAACCCCAAAGACCCTGCCATTGGCCAATTAGCATCTTCATCTGGCCGAGTTCTTTCTTCCCCTTCAATACTTTGTTACAGAATGTTTTTAAAAAAGTGTTCAAATCGAATGCAGGAAGTTTTGCTGTTTTGTTTTTAAGAGCTAACTCCTCTTTGATTTTTCTCCCCGACTTTGCTCGAAGCAGAAACATCCTACGGGTCACGTTCTGTCTTAATTCCAGAGGAACTGATGATCTCAAATCTCTTCCAAGTGGATCCCCTGGTATCCCTCGATCTTGCCTTCCTCGTTAATGCGCTTTTGGGTCTTGCCTGTCCCAACTGCTGACCATTTGACCTTGTCCTGCACTCGTCAACTCTTCAGTGCCCTTTGATTCTGAACTTTGACACTTCACCTTGGTATCCCAATTCTGGGGAGGAGGTGAGCTGCTGGTCCTCTGGCCACACTGTAGGTGGCAGCGGCAAGCTGCTTGAGATTTGCTCAGTAGACTGCACATGAGTGAAATCGTTTGTGGCCTGGAGCAGGATAATTTAGATCTGAGTCTGGGTAGATCTGCTCTTCCCTTTATGGCCCAGGATGAACTATTTTGGCCAGGAATACACCCTCTCGCTTGGATTTTCTAATTTTTTTTTTTTTTAAAGTTAATTTCCATTCTTTTTACACCCACACCTCCTTCCCACAGTTTCACAACTGATCCGAAATGGGACAGGTCCCATGCCTGCCCAGGTCTTTTAGCAATGGGCCACAGTTTGGACTTTTCAAAACCTGGTCACCCTGTAGTTTCCTGGCACTTTCTCTTGCTGTCACAGCCTGCCAGGGAGGGCAGCCTACCTATGGTTCTGAAAGTAGCAAAGAATTGCATTTCTGTAACGCCACGAGTGGCCCCTAGATGTTTTCAAAGTGCTTTATAACTAAAGATTCTGTCTGTCCTTCTGTGTCCCCCTCTGTCTGTCCTGTCTCTGTGTTCCCCTCTCTCTCTCTCTGTCTCTTCCCCCTCCTCCACCGCTTCCTGCTCTCTGTCGCTCTCGCTCTCTCTCCCCACCCCTTACCAACTTAGGCAACTCTGCAGCCAAATCCCATGCACAGCAATCGTTGACAAACTGCACTATGGTCACGGCCAGTTTCTTTTTTAAGTCTGAAAACCTGAAGTTTGCTGGAACGCCCAGCAGGTCTGGCAGCCCTAGAGGACAGCCTAACCGGGTCTGAAAGCTCACTGCTCAGGCAGATTAGCTCCATAGGTGCTGCCTCACCCCACCCACCACCACCACCCCCCCACCACTGAGTATCTTCCGTTTTTAAACTCCAATTTCCAGGATCTTTGGTTTGAGGGATGAACATCGGTCAGGAGGCCAGTGGGAACTCCCCTTGCTCTTCTCGGGAACACCTGGGATCCATTTGCATCCATCCGGGAGAGCCCTGCTTAGCTCTCGTTTCTCCGGAGAGATGGTTGTGATGGTGCAGAGGACGTTTGAGAGAGGTTCTCCCCCCAAAAAAAAACGAAGGATCTGGACAGAGGAGATGGGAGCGAAACTGCTTGTGTCGTCAGAAGGGTTTTGTTCATAAAAATCCTTCGTGGGATGAGGGTGTCGCTGGCTAGACCAACATTCTTAATTATCCAAAGAGTAGGTACGAGTCAGCCATGTTTCTGTGGGCCTGGAGTCACGTGCAGGCCAGACCAGGTAAGGATGGCAGCTTTCCCGAATGTACACCACTAAACCAGATGGGCTTTTCCAACAGTCGACAACTGTTATCATTAGACTCTTTAATTCCGGATGAGATTTATTTTTAATTCCACTTATTCAAATTCCACCAGCTGCCATGGCGGGATTTGAACCCAGGCCCTTCCAGACCATTAGCTGGTTTAATAGCATAGCACTAGGCCATCACCTCTTCCCTCCCCGCTGTATTGGAGAGAAGGGGAGAAATTTTTAAGGTGATTGGCAAAAGAACCAAAAGTGACACAGCAAGGGAAAAGGGAAGGTTGAAATCCTTCTTTTACACTTCTTATAAATTGGATAGGATGCCAAAGGGCAAGTATTTACCAGGCTAAGGGGGAAAAGGGGGAGCGGAAAGTGGGTCTGAACAAAATGAGTTTGCAACAAGGTGACAGGTTTGATGGGCTGAATGGTCTCCTCCTGACTTGAGCAGCATTAAAGCCCCACCATTGGCACATGCTTGTGATGAGTCATCATTTACATTTGTAGAATTGGCGATGCATTTCTGCAGTGAATCTCTAACATTGTAGGTAATAGATTGCTCTATGATGGAGCTAAAATCGCACACGGACCCCTCTCACTCTGCGTTTTCGCGCCCCCACCGTTTCTCTCTTCCAGATACGGTTCGATCACCGCAGTTGAAGCTGTGGTCTCTGTGGTGGATTTTTAACTCCACCGGTTATTACCTGGTGGTTTACTACGTGCAGATCCTGTGGGATAACATTCACCCGTCCAGGGAAAACCGAGGCGTCTACAATGGAGGTGTGGACGCTGCCGCAACCCTGCTAGGTATGGAACACGTGTATAGCCCCTTTCCTGCCCTTGGGAATGCTGCTATGAATAACAAAAAGTTGGTTTGCAGGTGCAGCAGGTAATAAAGGAGGTAAGTGGAATATTGTCCTTCATTGCTAGAGGGATTGAGTTTAAAAAAAAGGGAGGTTATGTTGCAGATATATAGGGTGCTGATGAGGCCATACCTGGAATACTGTGTACAGTTTTGGTCTCCTGACTTGAGAAAGGATGTACTGGCACTGGAGTGGGTGCAGAGGAGGTTCACTAGGTTGACTGTGGAGTTGAGAGGGTTGGCTTCTGAGGAGAAATTGTGTCGACCGGGACTATACTCATTGGAATTTAGAAGAACGAGGGGGGGAATCTTATGAAGGGAATAGATAAAATAGAACCAGGGATGTTGCTTTCACTGGCGGGTGACATTAGAACGAGAGGGCATAGCCTCAAAATAAGGCAAGGGCGGGGGGTGGGGGGAGGGGAGACAGATTTAGGAGGGAGTTGAGGAGGAATTTCTTCACCCAAAAGGCTGTGAATTTGGAACTCCCTGCCCAGTGAAGCAGTTGAGGCAATGTTTTTAAGGCAAAGACAGACAGACGGATAATTGAGGGTTATGGTGAGCGGGTGGGTAAGTGGAGCTGAGTCCATGATCTTATTGAATGGAAGAGCAGGTTGAGGGGCCAAATGGCCTACTCCTGCTCTTATGTCTTATGTTTCTATGTGTGAGGCCTGGGGAGAGATTTGGGTGGGGTGGGTGGTGGTGGTGCGGGGCATGTACTGTCCGGGAAACAACAGCCCCAGTCCAGAACAGGACAGCGCACTGGGGGCCGTCGGCATCTATATTTCTTGTTACAGACTAATGCAGTACTGTGGGAGGCCATTCATCCCATCGTCCCTGTGCCAGCTCTTTGAAAGAGCTTTCCGATTTAGACCCACTCCCCTGCTTCTTACTCCCACTGCAATTCCCTTCTTGCTAGTTGCTGTAAAATCTGCTGGAAGGCCTTGTGACCTGGTGGGTAACGACCCTGATTCCATCCCCGAAGCTCCAGGTTCAAGTCCCATTCCAGGTCTTGATAGTTACAGTCGCTGTGTTCAAAGTGGAGTCAGTCTGTGCAGGCGATCAGAGTGGGGCAGATTCCGGTCCATCGTGTTTTTTTTTTTACAATTTACTCGGATGTGGGTGACACTGGCTGTCCCAGCATCCCTTGAGACGATGGTGGTGAGCTACTTTCTTGAATGCTGTAGTCTGTGGGTAGACTCTCGATGCCGTTGGGGAGCGAATTCCAGGATGTTGACCCAGTGACACTGAAGGAACAGCAACATGTTTCCAAGGATGGAGGGGACAGTGAAGGGGATGGTGTTCCCATGTATCTACTGCCCTTGTCCTTCTAGATGGAAGTGGTTGTGGGTTTGGAAGGTGCTGTCTGAGGATCTTTGGTGACCTTTTGCAGTGCATCTTGTAGATTGACACAGCAGCAGCGTGTACTATGGTGGATGCTTTGCCCTGGACGGTTTCGAGCTCCTTGAATGTTGTTGGAGCTGCACCCATCCAGGCAAAGTGGAGAGTATTCCATCACGCTCCTGACTTGTGCCTTGTGGACAGGCTTTGGAGAGTCAGGAGGTGAGCTACTCACTTTTAAAGTATTCCGAGTCTCTGACCTTCCGTTGTAGCCACCGTTGATACGGTCAGTTCAGTTGAATTTCTGGTCAATGATCACCCCAAGGATGGTGGAGGGAAGGCCATTGAAGTAGCCAACAGAAAGTTGGTGTCTCTCCATCACTGGCGAGCTCCAGGCTATAATCTGCAGAGTAAGATCGACTACAGCTGACCATCCTGTTAGAAACAATGTCCCCGCTGTCAGCGTTCAGTCTGCTTCCACCAGTGCATTCCAAATCGCAGCATCAGTTGAAAAGAGCCTTCCTCTGTCTGTCTGGTTCATTTGTCGATTATCTTTTAAACCAGTGGTCTCTGTTCACTGACTGTGTTGCCAGTTCGAAATGGTCGTCAATGTATCCTACTGTTTAAAACAAAAACCTTATTATTCTGAACACAGCTACTAAATTATCCTTAACTCTCCCTCTCTCTCTGTCTTTGCTGCAAGATGACGAACGTTGATGTTGTGATTTAATTGTCCGAGGAATATATCAGTGACTGTACAAGTTCAGGTTGTCTCCATTTGCGCGCGCTTGTAATTAACAATTGGTCAAACTCAATCCATCATGAATCCAGACCCGTTGGCTTGTGAGCGCTGATCTGATGACTAATTTTAAGTCAGTTACTGGGAATATGTGTCCTGCTATTGCTTCAAATGTGGAAAATAAATCCTTCCAGGCCAAACCACTTGCTGCGGTTTGTTTACTGCTAAAATAACAGCGTGCCATGGATGTGAAATCTTTCAGGGAACAGTAAGAGAGGCTGGTTGCTCAACCCCGTCACTGATGGATCGATTGTCTGATCATTAGTTGTAGTTAGTGGGAGCTTGCTGTGCACAACTTTGGTTGCCCGGTGGTGATGTCCCTTGGGAAAAGGCCCTCCCTGGCCGTAAAGTGCGCGTGGAGGTGCGGAGGCTGGGAAAGGTGCTACTGAAATGCGAATCCCGCTGTCTTTCCCCCATGTCGCATCCTTTGTTAACTTGCGGGACTCCCTGCACGTAGAAACTTCCTGGGTTTAAGTCCGCTGCGTTGACAACAGAGCGGGACATCTCTTACACTTGCGAAATATTGCTGTGTTTTTTTCTCCCCCCAATGTTCCGTCTCAGGAGTGAGGATATTTACTCCAAAAGGCCTGACTCTGGCTGCATTGCAACTTTTGGGATTTGCACCAGTTCAGATCAATGGGTTTGCCAGAGGAACTTGTTTACCGTCACAGAGACTGCCAGTTCAAGCATGCCATTTTGAGGCAAAGAAAACCAATTCTTAGACAAACACCTTCTTCTTCCCCTTCCCAGAACCATGAATTTGACCGAAAACAACACGGTCACTAGTGCCAGCGTAGAATCCAATGTTCACACACTGGCACGCACCAAGAAACATGTGGTGATGAAGTGATGGCACTTGTTAAACTTGGCTGCCCAAATTTCAGAGCAGGAGATGTAAACAGATCCCTCCACGCCCCAAAAGCAAACTCTACAAGCTGTACTTGGCGCTGTGCCCCCTTCAGTGCTGGTCTGCACAATTCGCCAATGCTGTCCAACTGAACCAGGCAGCTTAGATCCCGTTTGTACCCACACACTGCTGCAACATTGGAAAGGGCTCTATTTATGGATCTCCTTGCAAAACACCGGTGCATCCAAAACAGCTTCGCACAGTCAGTGACAACCCTTTTGCAGTCCAGTCCCTGTTGCCGTGTGGCGAGCCGGGCGAGCCCACCTGTACAAAGCAAGATCCCACAAACAGCAATGCGACGAGTCACCAGGTGATCGGTTCCTTTGTACCGCTGGTTCGAGGAGTAAATGTTGGCCAGGAGGAACTCCCTGCACTATTCCTCAAAATGTTCCTCCCACCCTCTCCCCTCATCAGCTGATCCTTTTTTTATTATGTTCCGTTTGCAAAGGTTTTGGTAACAGACCCCTTTTTTTGTACAGTAGGGACAGGATGTTGTAAAAAAACACAGTATCTTTAATCAAAACCCATCACTTTCCCCAGCTGGAGACTCGCTCTTCCTTTTTCCCCGTTCTGGTCTTTTCTACAAGGCGATTTTTAAGGGAAAGTTCTCAGTCCTCATAGCTCACACTCCAACCGTTATCACCGCTGATAGATCTGCATTAACATGATATCTTTCAGGCCCGGAAGGGGATCCAGGCGCATTGAAAGGATCCTGGGAGTGAGCCACTTGTGTGTCTTTACCTATCATACATATCTACCAGCAAATTCCGAGATCAAAAATTGTTTCTCTGCAATGCAGACGATTTCATAACATCCTGCTTTCCTCGTCATTGAAAGGCCCTTCCAGGTGAAGCACAGACCTCTCTGCTGCCTCCTTCATCCTGGCCCGCTCTGCCTGTTACTTCGGGAGACTGGGCGATCGCTTTGCTCCTCCTGCAAATATGACCCTGAGCTTCTGGTGTCTTGTCACTTCAGTTCTGTGCCTTGCTCTCATGCTGACCTCTTTGTCCTCTGCTTGCTGCAGTCTTTCAGTGAGGCACAATGAGGAACAGCGACACATCCACATATAGGCATTTTTTTTTTACAGCCTTCTAGACTCAATGTTGATTTCAGAAAGTTAGAGCATAATCTCTCTTTTCCCCCCACTTTTTTTTGTTTTTGCTTTCTGTCAGCAAAACACCTGCTATGTGCACATGTTTCACCGCTTTGTTTCTTTTTTCTCCTTGACCTATTTTTTTAAAGCCTGAAAGATTAAATCATTTGTTGTTCTACCTCTGCTGTCAAGCCATAGACTTTGCTTTTGTCCCTTGTCTCTCACCCAGTCCTTGCTCAAACTTATTGAATCTGTAATTTCTCCCAGTTTCTGAAGGAAGGTCACAGACCCTAAATGTCCTGTCTCTCTGTCTGTCTGTGTCTCTTGCTCTCTCTCTCCCATCCCCCCCTCCAGTACAACCATGACCAGCTGAGTATTCCAAGCCTTTTCTGTTTATTCTTATACCAAAAACATTACTCGTGTTAAATTCATCCTACATATGTTGTACTTACGTCCCTTTCTCCCTCAGTTAGCACCGTACTCTCCTCTGCGTCGCAAGATTTTAGGTTCCAATTCCATTCCAGGATTTTGTCCTCTGGCTGCCACAACCAAGTGAGTGCTACACTGTCAGGGGTGCTGTCCTTTGGATAAACTCTTAAGCCATTACCCCTACCTGCTGAAGAGCAGAGAGCTGCTCCTCATATCCTGCCATTGTTTATCCCTCTATCAATGTCACCAAAACAGACCATCTGCTCATAATCCATTGGTACAGACCCCCATAAGGACAGCAATCAACTGCTACATCACCCATGTGACAAAGTGACCACACTTTTTTCCCTAAGTATTTTGTGGGTGTAAAAATCTTTGAGCAGGGTGCTATAGAAATGAAAGTCTGTCTTTGATTTGGCTCCACTGCACCACATTTTGGCAGATTCCACGTTCTCACTGTTTTCCGGGTAAAGACATTGCAAATTCTTTGATTGACTTGACCAGTGTCCGTCTTTGAAAGGACACAGAACATCGCCCACACCAGCACCCCTCTTCAAGCTGCCTTTCACCAGCTCCCCCTGTCTCCTCAGACTGCATCTTTCGATCCTGAACGACAAGGGCAGCAGATCCACGGGAGCCCCACCAAAACCCTTCACATTCCCGACTTGGAAGTATATCTCTGTTCACAGTCCTGGAACTCCCTCCCTAAGACTTCAGCGCTTCAAGAAGGCACATCTCGTGGGGGCGATAAACAGCTGTGATGCCCCTGAAAGACTTAAAAATGAATATTTTATACAGCTTCAGACTTTGGTTTCCTCACGAGTGGAAGTATCTTCTTTACATCCAAGTTATCAATCATTTCCATCATTTTAAAGACCTTGGTTAGGTCTCCCCAGAGAAAAGAGCCTGATAAAGTTTAGTGTTGAGGAGTCTGGAGGGGTGTCACCATCTCAGGGTAGACCATTTGGGATTGAGGTGAGGAAATATCTTGGCTCAGATGGAACTCTCTACCACAGAAGGCAGTAGGGGTCAAGTCACTGAAATTATTCAAGAAAGATGTAAATAATTTTTCTTAGATTTACATTCAGTCTTTATTGTCATGTGCACTCCTGTACTTTCGTACTTGAGTACAGTGAAAACTTTTTCTTGTTGCCACATATATAGCACGATCTTAAGATAGAAAGAAATAAGGAACAAAGTTACAAGTCAAACATTACAGTCCAAAAGGCATCAAGGGGTGTGGAGAGAAAAGTTGGGGCGGTGGGATATGGTGTTGAGGTAGAGGATCAGCCGTGATGATCAAATGGTCTACTTTGTTTGTAATTTGTGTTTGTGGAAATAAAAGCCAGTAAATCTGTGTGGAGCTGGATGAACACAGCAGGCCCAGGCAGCATCAGAGGAGCAGGAAAGCTGACGTTTCAGGTCGGAAC